CTGTAAGGAAATAGAGCCATTGTTACACCATTTCATTCTCTGCTGATATTCACTTCTTTTAAACTATAGGCACCTCATATATTGTAAAGGAAGAAAGGGAGGGAGGGAGGGAGGAGAAAGAGGAGACTGAAGGAGGGAAAAGGAGGAAGTGGAGAGGGAGAGGGAGAGGGAGAGGGAGAGGGAGAGGGAGGAGAGGGAGGAGAGGGAGGAGAGGGAGGAGAGGGAGAGGGAGAGGGAGAGAGGGAGAGGGAGAGAGAGAGGGAGAGGAGAGAGGGAGAGGAGAGAGGGAGAGAGAGAGGGAGAGAGGAGAGGGAGGAGGAGAGAGAGGGAGAGAGAGGGAGAGAGAGAGGGAGAGAGAGAGGAGAGAGAGAGAGAGAGAGAGAGAGAGAGAGAGAGAGAGAGAGAGAGAGAGAGAGAGAGAGAGAGAGAGAGAGAGAGAGAGAGAGAGAGAGAGAGAGAGAGAGAGAGAGAAAGCAATATCAAATACATAAGCCTGATGCATCCTAAGCAGCCTGTTAAACAAAAAATATAAATCAGGGGACTGTGTCTGCCCCCCTCAAAGTCTGGCATGCCCCCCCCCCCTCCAAGGGTCACAATTTCTAACTATTTTAAACTACATTAGACATACAGATCCCACTATTGCTAAAAAAATACCCCTAGAATACCTTTTTTTTCCCTCTTTGCTCGCCTTTGACCCCTCAAGAAAAAGCTGAAATGACGCCCCTGCATATTCAAAATGAACTTGAATTCAATAAACATGAAAAACACATCAGGCCAAAACATCGTACCTCAAATACAGTTTCACGAGCGGAAGACGTGAGGTGCAAAGCCGATTTGGCCGTGCGTTTCAAGGGAGACAGTTAAGATTCTGATATTACATTTCAGAATAATTGCAAGTGTCATATAAAAAACCACGACACAATATCGGGTAGCAAGATCACGTCAGACACCTCGGAACACTAAATCGCTGTTTACTTCTTTCGTTGTTTTAATGATTTACTTATATATTTATTAATTTATTCACTGTGACAAGCACTTCACTTCCGCACATCAAGTGAATGCAACAATTATTACATAGGCAGTAAATGAAGAACAAAAAATGACTGCACGTAGACCGAGGCGTGTGAAGGGGATGGGGGGGGAGGGAGGAACAAGTGCTGAGAACGTGTTGGTCCCGTTATAATGAACGCATTTAACAGTGGACCATCATATTTAATCGTCCACTTTGTGCGTATTGCCCAAAGTTCCGTTCACAAGACTCAAACCAAAGCATGTACTACAGCACATATCCTACGTACAAGCACCACTGTTATGATAAATAGCACAAAAAACGAGCAATTAATTGCAAAAAATGTAGAAGTTGTAGGTGAAGCTAACGTCGAAAAATTAGTCATCCGACTAAATAGCAAAAAAGAAAGAAAGAAAGAAAAAAAACAGATCCCGTAAATATCACTCGCACTGGCGAAAGGGCAGGCGAGGCAGATCGAATTGGACACGAGATGTCATGAATTGTGGAAAGATTTCGCGTCGGGCCGAGAAATGTCGCCGGAATCCGGCAGCCAATATGCCACGTTCATATCCGGCTGCGCGGCGCTCCGACATATCTCTACATCGCGTTGTCCGTCCACACACTGCAAGGATAATCTCATGTTTAATAACTAATGATGAATGATTAATGTTTAATATTTAATGCTTACTGTCTGATGACTGACGACTGCCGATAATGATAATTATATATCTGATTATTTATTTACATCCGAAGGTGGAAGAGGAGGTAACGGAGGCGATGGTGATGCAATTAGCTCACTTAATTTCCTTTTACAAGTCGAGTGATTGCACGTCACAAGAGGCGGAAAAATCTCAATCCCCGAGATGCTATCCCGGTTCCCATGAACTTGTGGCAACAGACGGACAAAGTTCATGACCTTGTACGTTATTTGATCATTCGCGAGCTGGGTTATTACACACTGCATACTTACACATGGTTAGCAACAAGCTAATGCAAGGGCACCAAAAACTGAGACAGAAGATGAGGGAGAAGAAAGAGATGGAGAGGGAGAAGGAAGAGGAGATGGAGATGGAAAGGGAAAGGGGGGATGGAGAAGAGGAAAGAAAGGAGGGAGGGCGAGAGGGGAGAAGATGGGAGAGGAAAGAGAAGGGAGACGAGAAGGAAGGGAAGGGAGGGACGAGAAGGAAGACAAGAGGGAAGGGAGGGGAGGGGAGGGGAGAGGAAGGAAAAGGGAAGGAGGCGAGACGGAAGTGAAGGGAAAGGAAGGGAAGAGGAAGGAAGGGAGACGAGAGAGAAGGGAAGGGAGGATAGAGAGAGGAAACGGAGGGGAGGGAAACGGAGGGGAGGGGAGAGAAGGGAAGGGAAGGGAAGGGAAGGGAAGGGAAGGGAAGGGAAGGGAAGGGAAGGGAAGGGATGGAAGGAGGGAGGGAGACTGACAAACAGAATGTCAACATCGCCGTCACGCTGCCGAGTAGTAATGGGCCTGCGGCTATTAAGCCCCGGGTGACGTCTGTCCTCTCCTGACAGTCGAGCCTCCAGCAGGAGAGGAGGAGACCAAGGAAAGAGACCGAGGAAGGTGACTGATGAAAGTGACAAGGCCGACGGATACAAAGGATACAAAAGTTGACAGGATTTATAAAGCTCGTCGGTTTTTGGCAATGAGGGCAGACATGCAATGGAAGCAACAACGCCAAAGAGAGATGGCGCATGTGAAGACCCAAGATGCAATATGGATCACAGGCTGCAACAACAGGGCGGGCGCGGGCTGAACACAGGACTCCTCGACAACAGCCGTTTGTGGTATAAGGGTTAAGAGGTGACCCGCCCTTCTCTGTTCCAGTTCAGGAAATAGTTCCAGATTTTCTACCCGCGCGGAGGACCTGGCCGGATTTAAATCGATTGGGATTAGCTCCATGACCTTGATTTACGGATCCATCTCCTCCTCCAAGCCACCGATCCTTTGATAACAGAACTGCCATGGAGTCACTCTTCCGTGGCGTCATGTGCGCGAGACCGACCGGGGAGATTATCAGAGCGTCTCGTGTGCGACTGGGGAAAAAAAATCCCTCACCGTTACTTTTCATGTCACTCGCTTACACGATTATGCCAACTCGTGCACAGATGGGTATGGGAATCCACCCTCTATTCTGACATGTACAAATCACTTACTAAAACAGATTTTTTTTTCTACGTCTGTTATCTGGCAAACGTATCTCTAATACGCCTTTACACGTGTGTCTCCCCCGACACACACACACATACACACACTCATACTACCTACACCCAAAGTCACATCCATATCGGGAGATTCCAAAGTAGAATCAAAATTATATCTGAACTTTAAGTCACTCTCATTCATCTGGCGGGGTATGTGTTTGCCATAAGGGCATGCAACCCATGCCTATTTACTTCCGAGTAGTAGTAATACGTAGTACAGGCGAAATGCAATCTGGTGTAAAGGTAAATTCACGAGGGGCAGAAAACGGTGCCTTTGAAAGGATTACGTGAATTCTGGGTGAAAAAAAAGTTTTGGAAATACTGACTGCTTTATAATCAACCCTACATCCAAAACAAAGTTTAATAAAAAATAAGTGGGTAAAATGATAAATAAAGAAGACATGAATAATGAAATAAAGAGGAGAAGGCAGAGACTGCAACACCGACTGACGAACGTACACCAACCTACTTACCACACGCTGCAACTGCCTAACGTCAAGGAGAGGCCATCGCACAACCCAAACGCGCATGCATGCACATGCACACACACACACTCACACTAACACACACGCACACTAACACACACACACACTAACACACACACACACTAACACACACACACACACACACACAAACTAACACACACACACACACACACACACACACACACACACACACACACACACACACACACACACACACACACACACACACACACACACACACACACACACACACACACACACGCGAACATCAACAACAACAAAGTCTGCGAAACCCGCCCTGCAAAACGGAACAGCTTTCGTGGGGTTGGCACGCTGACCATGCGCAAGCCCCGCGCCGGGAAACTTTCACCGCCGACGTCCGAACGAAAACGCGGCTTTCACGGGCAATGCACCAGACACACGCCGTTCGCCGTTCTTCTTCCGTTGTTACATAAGGGGCGTTGGTAACCCGAAGGACCAATCAACCAAATCAACACCGGTAACTAATTCCCCTTTTTCCGTGGATGAATAGTCTGCGCGGCAGCAAAATGGAAACGATTTCTGAAAATGGCAATATTTCTCATTCTGAAAACGGCAATATTTCTTATCATTCTTGACATGAAAGACGGCGTAACATCCCGTATTAATTAAAAACTCCAAAGAAACGCATTTATATTCGCAAATTAATGACACGCGCATAGACATACTGGGAGAGAGTGAGGAAGGGAGAACGTAAGAGGGGAGGGAGAGAGGAGGGAGAGAGGAGGGAGAGAGGAGGGAGAGAGGAGGGAGAGAGGAGGGAGAGAGGAGGGAGAGAGGAGGGAGAGAGGAGGAGAGAGGAGGGAGAGAGGAGGAGAGAGGAGGGAGAGAGGAGGGAGAGAGGAGGGAGAGAGGAGGGAGAGAGGAGGGAGAGAGGAAGGAGAGAGGAAGGAGAGAGGAAGGAGAGAGGAAGGAGAGAGGATGGAAGAGGAGGGGAGAGGAGGGGGAGAGGAAGGAGAGAGGAAGGGGAGAGGAAGGGGAGAGGAAGGAGAGAGGAAGGAGAGAGGAGGGGGAGAGGAGGGGGAGAGGAGGAGGGATGAGGAGAGGAGGGGAGAGGAGAGAGGAGAGAGGAAGGAGAGAGGAGAGAGGAAGGAGAGGAAGGTAGAGGAGAGGAGAGGAGAGGAGAGGAGAGGAGAGTGAGGAGAGAAGAGAGAAGAGAGAAGAGAGAAGAGAGAAGAGAGAAGAGAAAGAGGGAGAGAGGGAGAGAGGGAGAGAGGGAGAGAGGGAGAGAGGGAGAGAGGGAGAGAGGG